TTCTCATGATATACAAAGCACACAGATACGACCTGTTCTAGAATACTGTTCTCACATATAGGGTTCAGCACCCAAACATAATCCCATGCTCTCAGATTCCATCCAGAGAAGAGCTATTCGCCTGGTGGGTGATGCCACACTCACTAACACTTTGACATCATTGGAACATCGTAAAAAGGTCGGCGACTTTTCACTTTTTTATAAATACTTCCATGAGAAATGTTGATCAGGAATCTCTGCTATCATTCCACGACTAGCAATACGAACCAGACGAACTCGACAAGCGCAGTCAGCACATCCATTCGTTGTCAATCTCGAAATATGTCGAACAGCACTATATCAAAACTCGTTCCTTTTTAGAAAGAGTTAGTGAATGTGGCATCACCCACTAGGCGAATTGCTCTTCTCTGGATGGAATCTAAGAGCATTAGTGTATGTTTGGGTACTGAACCCCATACATGAGAACACTATTCTAATAAAACTGGCCGTATCCGTGCTATAGATCATGAGAAGTTATTGAGGTGTGAAGTAGATTTTCGGGCGGAACGAGAATCCGAGTTTTTGTGAAGCAGCTTTTGCGATGGATCTGACATGATTTTTCGATGAGAGAGTATTGCTGATGGTAATAACGACAATACTGAGCATAGATATAGTCTTGGTGGAAATGGTGGTACCAAACATTGTTATCTCAGTCATATCGAGTTCCGCCTTTTTAGAGAAAATACAGGCTTGAGTTTTGGTGACATTGAATTCAACTAGGTTGTAGGATCCCCAGGCTGTAATTTCCTCAGGATTTTCATTGACAGCGTTGTCCTGCCTTCGTCGTAAGTTCTTAGTTTCCTGGGAAGAAATGGGAATTCTAGAAGATAACGCAGTATGGAGGTTACCATCGTCTGCAATGCTGTGGATAAGGCGAGTGGTTGCTCCCAATAGATCATTGATATGAAGTAGGAACAATGTTGGTGCCAAAATTGATCCTTGTGGAACGCCAGAATTGATGGCAATGGTATCAGACGATACTCCGTCCACCACCACATGGAGCGATCTGCCTAAAAGGAAACTCGATAAACGATGGCATAGCTCTGGTGGTAAGCTGTATGATGGTAGGTTGTGGAGCAGTCCTTGGTGGCCAAAGACCAAACACGGTCGAATGCCTTCGATATATCCAACGCTACAGAGCTAGCCATATTATATGGGTGACGTAGGCAAGTAAATCTGCAGTTGATCTTTGGTGGCGAAAACCATATTGTCTATTATTGATGATTCCTGAGCTTTCCAGATATTTGATGAGCTCAATGTTGATGGCTTTCTCCATCACTTTAGGAATGGCTGAATACAAGGCAATTGGCCTATAGTTGTTTGGCAGGCTTGGCCTATAGTTGTTGGGCAGGCTTTTGTTTCCTCGTTTGGGGATTGGTTAGACTCTAGCTATTTTCCAGCAAGATGAATAAATTCCCGACTTATAGGAGATGGTACTTGCAGAGTGTACCGACGCATAAATCGATTTATGAATATGAATGAATCAATGATGATATTATGCCATAAGCCATATCGGCCGTAAATATTGTGAAATCTGTTCTCATGGATCGAGAAAAGAAAGTTGGCAGTTGTTTTGTGTACATTTCAATGTTAATGATATGTATCATGAATGTGTGAGAATTTAGTAAATCGAATTGTTTGGTAAATATGGGGGTACCTATGTCCTTGATGCATATTCGGTTGTTTAGAAAAACAGCCTGAGTTATTGTTATTGTAAGTAAAATAAAATTAATAAGTAATACTCAGTTAAACCACGAAATTACAGTTGTTAAAAGATAAAAAACCAATTCTGATGTGAAATAGGGTCAAGTTTCCTATAAGGTTGTTTATTGTCGTTAAAAGTCAATTGTTCTGCGGGCAGATAAATTCCTACTAATTTCATAATGCAGGCGATATGTGAAGAAACAATATACATATATATGCACATTCTATATGATGCTATGCATTTTTTAAAATCTTTTGGATAGCACTATCCCTATTATGTTAGTGGAATATCGTTCGCTATTCCTAGGTAGTGGAGAAAGTATAGGTATCGATTTTTTTCATTGTTGTAGGTATTTTGGACTCTGGGCAACGGATTCCAAATCTTTGCCGTTCTATGAACGGAAGCTTTATGGTAGAGAGATGCTCGACATTTCTCGAGGTAGATGATGAAATGATGTTCTGACTGACTTACCTGCGGTGTTCCGATGACTTCAAGGAGTTATAAAGAGTGTGGCATAGACAACCAGGTGAATATGGATAGCAGGGTTTTCGAATTAAAGTGAGGTATTTCAATCATCGAGTCAATCATGCACCCAAATTCTCTGATTTGGGAACGTTTGGGAAGCATAAAGATTCACAAAATAGTAGGTTTGACCACAGTTTAAGGAATACCCTTTCCTTAAACTGTGGTTGGACTAACTTTATATATGTATAGGTCCGTATATAGGTAATCAGAATTCTTACAGTCAAAAACGAAAATGTGACTGATTGGAAAACTGACGATGAGAGGAGACAATACTGATACCTACGGTGATCTTTGCTTACTGTTCAAATATCTCCAATATTATTTCCTACAAAAGTCAACCCGAGAATTAACCACTGTTTCAGAACTCTATCAAACGTATACTATCACTGTATATTACTGGATATTGCATAGATTATTCTTATTAAAACACGTTTTAACGATGTATTCTAATTACATACAATTACTGTTTTATTTTTATACCTGATCACATAAGATAATTTTATTATGTAATTTTATTTTTGAATATATGAAATAGAAATAATTGTAATTTTATAAAATGTAAAAACTTCCCAAACGATAACATTTCCACAAAATTCTTATACATACAACGTGTTTCGCTTCGTCAGGTGATATACTGGTACAATGAACTAAACCAACGTTGGCTTGCTTAACTTTTATATACATTTTATAAAATGTAGTTAAATGAAGGTTTTATAAAACCAATAATTTCACCACTGTTTTTTCTTTCAGTGTCGCCATGTGTCGCTTCCACGTAATGTTTGGAGCTATTCAGGGTGTTTTATTATTGCCTAAGCTCAAAATATCAAGATTCAACCCAAAACCCAAGCTGAATAAGCACCGTGAGTATCAATGACATTCGTCATGTTGCCAGACGTTCAATATCAGTTGAAAGATTTGGTATGGTAAAAAAATCACTAAAACATTCATTTGTCCAATGGTTTATTGCAACGATCGACCCTTTATTTTAATTATCGTTCCAATATCGGAAACACCCTGTACAAGTTGTCTCAACTAAAAAGAATCCTGATTGCGAATTAGAAAAATAACTAGAGGTATACAGCGTGTCTCATTTCAAACGACCCCCCCTCTATATCTCAGCTATCAGTCGTGCGATCTTTACCAAATTTGTATCGGTATGAATAATCATCAATATGAACAGTTCTTCTAAGACAAATATCATTTCAGACAGTGCCGTGCATTTTTATTGAAATGAATAAGGGTCAGTTCTTCAATAAATCATATTAGGCATTTTTTCACAGGAAAACTGACTTCATAATATTGTTCTTCATGGTTTCAAACTCACATAGGTATGAGAATTTTCATAAAATGCCTATGAAGGGTTTCAGAAAAACAGGCACATCTAAACAGCATTTTTGCGAACGTAATAATTATTTACTCGGAAACGGTGAGTTCAACATGAAAAAGTATAACTAGTTTTTCCTTTCAAATCATGATTTTACACCTACCGGAGCCATTGAACGTTCCAAAATTCGTAGTTGATTTGAAGTCACTATTTATTCGAGACTGAAAATGAAAAAAATGAAGCCAATCCTGTTAATTCGGAATTGTGTGATTTTTTGCATATGGAAGATCGAAAGCATGAGGAACAATAATATGAGGTTAGATTTCCTGTAAAAAAATGCCTAATATGATTTTATGAAAAATCGACCCCTTTTTAGTTCAATAAAAACGCACGGCACTGTCCAAAATAATGTGCATCTCTGTAAAACTGATCATATTGATGGTTATTCATACCACACCAAATTTGGTTGGAATCGCATGACTAATAACTGAGATATAGAGGGGGGCTGTTTAAAGTGAGACACGCTGTATATGTATACTTGAGGAAAAAATAAAACTGAACAAATCATCTTAGGGCACATGTAATATATTTTTCGCTAAAATGTTTCCTCCGAATTGCTCATCTCATATGGGGGAAATTTTCACTTATGATATCACGAGAGCTTCAATTATTTCCGGAAATTTTTTCCGTCGAAGACGATATTAATTGAAGTGGTATTCGGTAAGAAAATTTCACACTGAAATATTATATTGCAAGTATACCCACATAATAATATGTTGATAAATGATTTTTATTTATTGATTTACAGAATGAACTCGAAATAATCTGAAGTTGAATGTAGATGTAATTCAACCTATAAACGTCAAAAAATTTCCAGTGTAATTTCAAGAAATTTGTTTAGTTGCAATCGTAACGATACGAAATAAAGGCTTTAAATTGATCGAAAATGTTCGGGGTGAAATTCTCAGTTATATTCAAAACATTTCAGGCTCTTTTCCATCAGCCCTTCCACATTAATGATTTTTTTTCACCTAGCGTTCAGGTTATTCTAATTAGTAATCGTATGTTCAACACCACATACTAGTTCATTCAGGTAATGACCATTGTCTTTTTACGTTTCACACATACCACAATCTCGAGATAATATATAAGAAAAACAAAACTTTCACTTTGAGAAAAATTAATTGAATGCTTGGAATCCAGTACACCAGAGTACACCCATTCACTCTGATCGCAATGCTTCTCAACAATGTAGCTACCTATACCTACCTATGCCGTCTAGTGAAGCGAATACCTTTTCTTCTAAACACAACAATCAACAGGTGGATATATTGGGTACCTAAAAACTTTGCCTGGTGTCTTTACGCATCCAGAGTAGATATCTTTATCAACTAATTGTATTCTCACCTTCTGGTACGTCCATGGTGAGAGTATCCCCATAATTCCTCCAGGAAGTGAATAGAAATGCCTATTCTGTATCGCACCACCGGAAATATGAAGGAAATCACGCGCGACCACTCCGTTAGTCAGTTGTTCTTGTTGCATTCGGCAAGAAACAGAAGATGAATTGGCCTCTTCTCGCGCATTCTTGCACTGATTATGCGCTGGCGCTGCTGCCTCGACTCGTACGACTGTGGAAGGCCGACAGGTAGACAGGTGTGACGTCATTAACTGATTGTTCACTGTTGGTATTCCAAGGTGTGCGTGTGAGAAGAGGAAATTTGGGTGATGGCTGTTTAAGCCGAGGTTCACTTTCGATTAGAGTGAGTCGAATTGACGATAATCGTGATAATGCCATAGAGAACTGATGATACCTGAGCGGGCCATTTTATATCCCTCCCGAATCATTTGTAATGGATCATCTGTTACTATACCTGCTAATATACCTACCAATTTACAATTTGTTTACAAACATTGAGTGTTCAACGTTCAAAGAAACAGGGTGAGTCATGAGGAACTGTACATACTCCAACCACGAATAGAAATAGAGGCACCTGAGGGGAATACCTAATTACCATCAGAAAGTGTCTGCTCCTCTTCTTCACTAATATATAGGGTGAATTATATGGGATTAGGCAAAAATATATTTTGGTCATAACTTTCCAACAGCTTCTTCGATTTGTCTGATTTTTGCATGGGATATCCTGCTACTACTCTCTTATCGACTGACTTATTTAGAATTACGAAAACCAGGACCGTTCTTCAAAAATTTTGCCATAGTTCAATTTATATCAAGAAGTTCATCCTGTATATGGTTTTTGTAAACTGTTCCAAGGAAAAATCAAAGATCACAAACAAACATCGGAAATGAAATATCCAAAATTCCTCTCACACTTTTACACTATTTTTTGAAAGCCGATATATACTTTCTAAGAAAAGACGAAATTTTTGCAACAAATACATTTATTTGAAAATAAATACTTCGCAACGCATAAATTTCACGATTTAAAGTAAGACTGACCTTTTCAATGCTTTAGCTCAATATGGAAATCAACATCTTCTTCAATTTCCAGGCCTGGATTTCGTCATTTTATTTTTTGTGGAGGGTATGATAATCACCCTGTAGATCTTTTTCGAATCAGTGGATGGGGTATCTATATGGATATTAATGGCAATCGATTCAAATGATTCCAGAAAATGGGGGTTTATCCTAAATTTTTTTATAAGAATACTATAACAAAGGATAATAATAATTATTCTTCTGTACGGCAAATTATATTGACCAAAATAACTTGATAAAACAAATCGAATCGATAAAATTGAGAATTATTCAAATTCAAATTATTCAAATTGATGGCCATCATCAACAGATACATACAGATAACCCCCCATCCACTGATTCGTAAAAGATCTACAGGGTGATTATTATACCCTCCACAAAAAAATAAAATTGGCGAAATCCAGGCCTGGAAATAGAAGAACATGTTGATTTCCATTGAGCTAAAATATTGAGAATGTGAGTCTTACTTTCATTCGTGGAATTTATGCGTTGCTAAGTATTAATTTTCAAATGAATGAATTTGTTGCCAAAATTTCGTTTTTTTCTAATAATGTATCGTTTCAAAAAAAATCTGTGAAACTGTGGCAACAATTTTGGATATTTATTTTGATGTTCGTTTGTGACCTCTGAATATTACCTGTCACAGTTTACGAAAACCATATACAGGATGAACGTTTTGATATAAATTGAAGTAACAAAATGTTTCAAGAACGGTCCTGGATTTTCCTGATTCTGAATAAGTCAGTCGATGAGATAGTAGTAGCAGAATATTTCATGAAAAAATAAGATGAATCGAAGAAGCTGTTGAGAAGTTATGACCAAAAATGTTTTTGCCCAATCCCATAATTCACCCTATATATTAGTGAAGAAAAGGAGAAGACAGTTTCTGATGGTCATATAAGGTATATATTCGTCGTAGGAGTATGTACAGTTCCTCATGACTCACCCTGTATAATATCAATGCAACGGAGTACGTACTATTATTGTATATGAGGCAATCGTATATATTCTTTGATACATTCACTATATGATAGATCGATATACAGGGTGTCCCAATATAACAAGTCTTTACAAAAACTAACCACATATTGCTCAGATCAAGAAAATAATTCGATACAAGCAAACTTACCTCAGTACAAAGTGGCTTAGTTTGGACATGGACGGCTCTGAAGTTACAATTTTAATATCGTTTTTGCTTCATAACTTTGAAACGGCTCATGAGATTTACTGAGTTTGGTACGTTTTATTTATTTATTGGGCAATTAAACCCCATATCATTATTATGTTGAATATCATATTACATGGGCGTAGACCTATATTTTTTCAGTAATAAACATCTGAAACCCATACGCCAATGGAAAGAAAGGGGTTTGAATATGAAATTTGGATTGCGTACAAAAAGGTACTCCTGATGAAATTATATTCATGGTTTCGACAAAATTAGAATTTTAGTAAATCACAGCATCAGTTAACATTGAAATGATCAACAGAAATATCATGAAAATTGTTCAAAATGTTCTCATTTCCACGAATACAATGAAATTATAGGGCAGAAAAAATGGGTTCAACCAAATTCTTACAACAAAGATGTAAGTAAAATTCTCTGTGTAGAATATATGTGACCTAATGAAAAATTATTTGTAGTATCCCTGAAGATGGAAATATAATATTCCGAAAGCTTGGACAAACTTTTTAGAGTACTCTTTTCACTTAGCTATACAGGGTAACTCACGGTCGATGGTACGTTAGACGTTTATGGAGAACGGGACATAGGATCATTCTGAAATTTCGGTTACTCACGTAGTTACTTTTGGTCTATCGATCTAAAATATTTTCAGCTCTGCGGCGTTGCCGCTTCTATCGAAAAGTAGTAACAACTTTGTAATTTTAAATGGAACATCCTGTATTTTATTGCATTTTCAGATTCTCTCTAAAGAGCTGATTTCATCGATCTATCACACTTGGGGTCTAGCGGAAAAGATTACAGAGATATAGGGTGTGAAAAATCTGAAATTTTTCAACTTTAGGAATTTTTTTTGTCGAAACTATTCATTATTGGTCAAAACGGCTCACATGTCCCTATCTCAACTTTTGATCAACTATCTACTGACATTTAATTGAAACAAATACAGAGTGGTGCAGAATTCAGAATCTTAATCACTCGGTATATGTCCCAATTAAATATCAGTAGATAGTTAATCAAAAGTTGAGATAGGGACATGTGAGCCGTTTTGACCAATAATGAATAGTTTCGGCAAAAAAATTCCTAAAGTTGAAAAATGTCGATTTTTCACACTTTATATCTCTGTAATCATTTCCGCTAGACCCCAAGTGTGATAGATCGATGAAATCAGCTCTTTAGAGAGAATCTGAAAATGCAATAAAATACAGGGTGTTCCATTCAAAATAACAAAGTTGTTGCTACTTTTCGATAGAAGCGGCAACGCCGCAGAGCTGAAAATATTTTAGATCGATAGACCAAGAGCAACTACGTGAGTAATCAAAATTTCAGAATGATCCTATGTCCCGTTCTCCATAAATGTCTAACGTACCATCGACCGTGAGTTACCCTGTATATCTTCAATTTGCGATAGTATATAGCTCAATGTATAGGTAGGTGGTTCCTAATCCTATGAGGATAGCAGTTTATGGAACTTGAAAAATTGATTACCTTTGATCACGTATGATCTCCGAACATAAAAAATAGGTACTCACCTATATACTATACATAGGATAATACTTATAGTGAACTGATAAAAAAATGCATGATTATACTATTATAACGTTGACTTTCTGGACTGATTCCTGAATGTAACATTGAGTACGGAGGGAAAAAAGGACTGTAGCTTTCCATACTCATTTCAATATTATATAATCGTTTCTCGCCAATGTTATGGAATGAAGAATGAGTAGTTTTATCAAAATTTTTGTCGATCTCCTCCGGTTTCATGTTTCATTCAGAAAATGATTCAGATTACATATAGGTATAGATGATGATGAAATGGGTAGGTGAGTGGTGAGATTATAGATACTAATGATACCAAACGCCAATACACCTTGTCCCCTTGTATACTATGACCTATATTCCATAAAATATCAGATGATCAAAATTGAATAAAAAAAGAAAGATCTAAATTAATGAATCAATTTAACCACAACACTACTTGTTGTTCCGTTGTGAATTTCAATAATTCGATCAATAATGGTACTACTGGTGATTTTTTAACTGGATAACAAACATAAACCTTCTAGCGATGCAATGGAGCTATAGGTACCTATAATAATAGGAGAACCGGTTGCAAATTTCGATAATAACGAAATGTTGTATGTTCCAGAGGCATGAAAAGCATTGCATTTCATCGTACGACACCTGTGCCAATCACTATTCTGTACAAAATGATTGAAAAATTGCACTTTCCTGTGCGGTTATCTGCACTCAATTTCGCGATTTGATAACGAGATAGGAAGTTATACCATCCGATACCAATTTGATGGAAGATCTCTAAAACCTACCTGTGGTGACCCTCCACGGCACACCGTTTTGTTTGCTGTCATTATTACGGAAATACTTCCGTCATGTGATGATGATATGTCCCCTTTGCGTCAATATTTCCGAGAATATTTCGCCCCCGTCGAAAGATCATATCCGATGGACCAGTGTAAAACTCATGTGGTGCTCGCACTACAAATATTCTAATTCACATGTTTTACACTGGTCCATCGGATGTTATCCTTAGAGAGGGGTGAAATATTCTTGGAACAATTTACGCTCTGCCACTAGCAGCTAACCTTCAACTTAACGCGAACATATAGTATATATAGTCGATCCAAAGTCAGTTGGAGTACCTCGAGAAAAAACCTATAGGTACGCAACGCGGTTATTTCGCTTCTTTTGAAGTTTGTTTGACTTCCCTGCACCTGAAAGACATTCATAGATTGAGTTTTTTCAATTCAACATTTTTTCCACGTCATGTATCATGAACATGAATTCATTGTTCAACTGACAAACGCTCCAACTGACTTTGGTTAGTCTATATCTATTATTTGAATATTCATCTTCAGTCCTTACTAGCCTAATGAACATCACAAATAACTAATCTATTCTTGTTTGTTCTCAATTAATGACACAAACAACTATTCTATTCTTGTTCTGTCTTTGGCCTCTTCTTCAATGGTTTTCTTCCGTATTGCCTCATCTCCTCTATTTCTCTTTTCCATCCCTCCTCTTAGACTCGTTCTCCCCATTCTCCTCATCCTTGCAATCTCTGTCTTTACCCTCTACAGAGATTCCCTCTATTTGTTCGCACTTGATCCCGCGACCGGCTCCCAAATCGATGAAAATACTTCCGCGCCTGAACGGTAGATGGTTGTTGGGCGCTATCATCAACAAGTTGTTGCCGTTGCGGTCGCACAGAGGGAGCGGCGGACACGCGAGGCCGCTTCTGCGCAGGCGCGCTCGAGAACGGAGTGTGTGTATGCCGGGCACGTGACGGGTGATGATTGCGGCGCTCTCGGACTTGATGTCCATGTGGATGGTGGTGGAGGTGGACTGCTGCCAGTCTAGGACGTTGGACAGTATTTGGATGTATCTGGGGAAAATTTCAATTATCATTATAGTTGTGGACATGGACAATAATTTAAAAACTATCAGTAACTGTTCCTGCTCTGCCTGACGGAACAGGAAAACATTATTGTTTTCATGAACTTGGATGCAATGCCGGATTACAATAGATTAGCCAATTCACGATTTGAAAGGAAACAGCTGTATCAGGATGGACCAAGAAGCAGCAGACAGCCATTACCCGATTGCACTTAAGAGGAATAGCCAAACATTTGATTGAATCACAGCCTAACCTACGAGCTGCAGCAACCTGGAACATCCTCTGGAAGAGGCCCTGCGTAAGCAGTTTGGAATGTAGACAACGAAACGGACTACCTACTCATCCCCAACAGAAAGAAGATATTATCTGCAAAACCTGTTAGCCTTGAAGAGGCAGTAAGAGTGGCAGAAAAGGAAGAGACCATAGGAAACCTAACCAAGATGCAGGATATGGAATATCGGGTTGTAAACTACAGGCAATATTCTCCGACTTCAAAAATCACATTATGTTACAGATGTCAGAAAACTGAACATTTCGCCAGAAACTGCGAAGCGTGGTACAAAGGGAATCATGGGGGATTGTTATGTTATGGGTGGGATAAGCCTGGTCAAATGGTCATATTGTGTCCTAGTGGTTCATCCTAACGAGCTCAAGGTCACGCAAGTGAGAACTGAGCTATCCACGTCAAGTAGGTCAGTCCACTGGGACTTTAAACAAAAGCGCAGCTGCATTTCCACCAATTCCACCCTGCCGTGTATATTCTGGAGACTGGAGAGGATCGAAGAACAGCAATAAACCATCAAAGGACGGCTGAGATATTGAGAAGCACCCAGGAGAACGTGGAAGCCCAGAGAATAGCAAAAATTAGTGTAAAGGGGTCAACATATATTCGAATCATTCGGGTGCACCAAGTATCTCTAGTAGTTAAACCGGGCACTGTGCAGGGTTCCAGTATTCAAGTAAACAATGATATTAGTTCAGTTGATATTCAAGGGAGGAAAATCAATGATGATGGTATGTTAATCAGTATATGTGTGAATTGTGTGTTCAACATAATGATGACTAGTTTGAATATTTCAAATTTTTCAACAGCACACCTCAAAATCACATCATGCGGTGTTGGAAATATTCGACAAATGAAACACTGACATTCATTTCAATGATATTCAATGCGACATTTAATGATACATCCCAAAAGTTTATGAAAATATCTATTTTCTCCAAGCGGGATAGAAATTGCCTTTTCTATGACACTTAACAAGCAGGAAATGTGTACTTTCATCACTGTACGTAAGAAATAATCTCAATCAAAAAAATTAAACAAACATACGGTGCCATTGAAAAAAATTGGGGCTTGGGGCGTTTCTTATTGTCACTCAGCCTAAGTATATTGACTGATCTCTTAGGAAGATGAAAAATACATGAGTGAGATATGAGGAAGAAAAATTTCATGCGTATATGCTTACCTTATTGCCATTCTCAAAATCTCGTTTTTGGATAATTTCTTGTCTGGTGGGTGAGTAGGGACCAGTTTTCTGAGTTCAGCAAACGCCCCGCTAACATTTTGTTGTCTCCATCTTTCACGGCTGTTTGTGAATATCTTTTTCACTACACCCCTAGGAGAAGAAACCTGGAAAAAACATAGCGGAAATTTAACAATGATTTCAGAACGTCTATCTAGATCGAGGGATTCAGTTCCTTCCTGATGGAGTTTCGTGTGTTTACCTGTTGCATCGATCCATGATGGGACTGATGTTTCCCTTCCAGCCTTTTTTCGTCATCGCTGTCTATGATGGAGAATTCATCGGAGAAATCATCATCCTCTGACAGCGAATCGTGATCCTGGGTGTGAGACGAATAGTTGACGTTGGGAGAGGAGGAGGTGCTGACATCTGTATTATCACCGTCTGCATTCCAATCCATGTCTGATGTGCCAGAGATGCAAGTAAGCATCGGCTGAAAAGCATCAAACGAAAATACTATGGTGGACTCATTTGGAAAATAACTCAAGCTGGTAAGGAAGCGATAAAATCCTGCTACCATGGCCACGTTTCGAGCACCGACTTACTACTCTATCTAGACTGTTAGTAATCATATCGCAGCAACCCGAAAATGTAGGGTCAGTTGTTCGCCTGAAAACGCTTCTGCTCAATACGCAAGAACCCCCAAGCTGTCGTTCATGACTTTGACGTGGTATCGAAATCAAACTAGCATCCATTTTGTTCATACTCAGCGGCAAGGTGGATGGCGTTGGCTTAAGTGTTTTGTTTGTGTCATCAGGGGTCGGCTTAATAAAAATAATATCAACATTGAGTGGTGATATCAGTTTTTTCGTTTTATTTTCGCCAATCCTAGAAAATATGAAGTGCTTTGTTCTTTGGTGTACGAATTCCACGATTAATAATACTAAAGATGTTTCTTTTCATCGGTCAGTTTGTGGGCGATGAATAATTTATTAGGTATTTCAATATACTATACCGGGTGTTATTTAAGTACGTGGCCAAACTTGAAGGGGTGATTCTTTGGGTGATTCTTAGACGAAAAGTTCATATAAACATAGGTCCGGTAATGCTTCGTTTTCAAGATACAGGGTGTCAAAATTTTTAAAAGAAATCGTTTTTTTCGTAAATATCTTAATAACCCTTCAACCGATTTTATTGAAATTTGGCAGTGTTATTCAAGGTCGTAAAGGGCTAATTTAACATTAACTATATCAAAAATATTAGTAAGACCCCAGTTTTTGATGGTTTGGTAGTTGAAATGTTTTATTGTGTTGTCACAGGGATGTGCAATGAAGTGATTTTTATGTTTTTTCTCAAAAACAAAGCAAGATACGAAAAAAATTCTAGATATGAAAAAGTTGTAATTTTAGTTGCTCAATGTGAAACAAATACGAAAATTGCAAAAAAATCAGTGGCGCACATTTTTTCTGTCAAAAATATTGGTTACAGTGCCTTCCGGGACGCCACTGGACATGATAATTTTGATGTAGTTAGGGTTAAATTAGCCCTTTACGACCTTGAATAACACTACCAAATTTCAATGAAATCAGTTGAAGGGTTATTAAGATATTTACGAAAAAAACGATTTCTTTTAAAAATTTTGACACCCTGTATCTTGAAAACGAAGCATTACCAGACCTATGTTTATATGAACTTTTCGTCTTAGAATCACTCAAAGAATCACCCCTTCAAGTTTGGCCACGTACTTAAATAACACCCTGTATATCATATCAGTTCAGCAAGTATTCAAATCAAATGGAATCATGCATCCCATAGATGAAAACCCAAAGTCATCTCCAAAAAATTCATTAGAATGATCAAAGATCAATCGTAAAGAAACATGTTTCGGGCTCATATAAGCCCATCATCAGCCCATATCATATCATAGTTATGGAAATAAAAAAAATAGACATACAAATAGTATAGTTAATAACAGGGCGAACTATACTACTTGTATGTCTACTAGTATAGTACTATACTATTTGTATGTCTACTTTTTTCATTTCCATAATTATGATACTTTCTTTTGATGTTGTGGAGATGACTTTGGGTTTTCATTTATGAACTACACCAGACCACTTTGAGTTACCATGGACTTCTTCCGAAGATGGAATCATGCATGTTTTGTATATTCATTCAGCTGTGAATTTGTGTTCAGGCGTGAGGTGCCAAACCTGCTCATCTATTTTAGACGATTTTGGATTAAAAGTTTAATCATTCAATATTCAATAATGATACTAGAATTCCTATAAGAATAAGAGAAATGAATGGTTTGAGGCTATGAGGAGACCATTGGACGGTACCTTAGGCTGGAGCCTCGGGATATAATCTTGGTCCCTGGTTAATAATGATATTCTTTACTACCTTGGTGTATTAATATTAATAACTATTTTCCACCACTAGCTATAAAACATACCATGATTTACTCCTTTCCAATGCATAAAGTTTGTTTTTACCACCAAGGTTGTTTTCGTGATTTTATGAACCACTAGTCAATGAAGACATAGCTACCTCTTTTGTGATTAACCCGAATGCACTGTTCTGATCAGAGATTCGCAGGAATGGTACTGGAATCTAGTAGATATTTATCGATAACGATTTGTCATATGCTCTCATGGTCATGGCCAAGTATTGAAAATAAGAGCTTTCATGGTGACAATAGGTCCATATTTCGGTTTCACAGAACTATATAGATAATTGGTAGTGAAGAATATGATTACCACGGGACCTTATGGTAATGGGTAATTATTGTTATATATCGTAGGTAGCTTGGACGTTGTTGACGTTGTTAATGAGTTGACTGTTCTAAATTAATAAAACATAATTTCTGTTCTGAACGAGTATTCATACTTTATCAACACAAATAATAGCAAACGCTATATTGGCGCAGTCGTTGCATGCGAGGAAGACAGGGTGGCCTGCCGGAAGAGGCTCATGCTCCTGTTTCGGTCCCAGTCGTTCCTGCAGGAAGTCGAAGGAATGCCCCGGGTCAAGTTGTGTCGGGAAGTCGTCTAGGTGATGTCGAAGAAAATGAATCCACATCAGAGTCGAACGACACAGAATCACTAAATGAAACGGAAGTACCAGTGGACCAGGAAATCTCCAGTCGTCCAAGAAGGACGAGAAATCTTCCAGCTAGATTACAAGATTTTGTTATATAATTTTCAACTAGGGGAGGGAGTGTTATATATCGTAGGTAGCTTGGACGTTGTTGACGTTGTTAATGAGTTGACTGTTCTAAATTAATAAAACATAATTTCTGTTCTGAACGAGTATTCATACTTTATCAACACAAATAATAGCAAACGCTATAGTAATTATGATATTCTTTACTACTTTGGTGTACCCAGTAAACACAAATATCCCTGGGATGTTACATTCATGTCTCGTTAGGTAACAATGCGAATCATAAGACAACATTAGGTATTGGTATTGCCAGGAGACTCTTTATGTTACCAAACATTCTCAATATTTGTCTCATTTTATTGGAGGTGAGACTTGAAATGAAGGTGAAACACTCCTTAACAACCAAGAGACTTCTTGGAACCTCACATTCTTGTCCAATTATGTAACAAACCGAATCAATCAATTTCTATGTTGAATGGGGACTCATTTAATACATTACGGCGAATCATAAAGTGACCAAAAGGGTCCGGAATAGCAGTCAATCTGATTTCTGTGGGACTCTCAATCTCAATTCGAGTTACCGATTTGATGTGTGGGAAGAATGTGATGCCTTCTAATATCTCTGGGATCAATCTCTGTTAACTGGGTATAAATAACTATTGTCCGATAGGCAATAATATAATTATTGTCGGTCGAGGAGTTGCCGTTTTCTTTATCAATTTCGGAGGCTGAGAGTTTCAGGATTATAGATATAGTCCAAACATACAACTTTTGCATAATGCATCCAGAACTTACCATTTGAATCTCGCTTTCACACTCAGTACACTTTCCCAAACTGTATAATCATGAACACTTGTTCCACTATTTTCAATCACTATCACTGAAGCACTCGCCACAGATTTCCCATCACTTCGACTGAGATTTATTCCAGCGGCCGGAAAAGCGAATTTGCAGTATCGGCATCGCACATCCCGTCCACAGCCTTATCAGCAAAACGCAGCCACCCCCGCTTCAACCAATCGGCGGTCATCCGAAGGGGGCACGGGGTGGCAACATCAGAGGCAGCCACGCCCTTTCTCACCCCGTAAATCACCAAATTACGAGTCAAGTAGGTACTAATAGTGCATGGAGCTCGCTTATGTGTTATTAGAATATTTATTTGAAGCTCTTATCTGCGATTTGAGGTTTGGTTTGTTTGATTTCGTTCTGGATAGTGGATGTGCAACATAGTTTCACGCTATACATGGTGTATCTGAATAACACCGAAAAAATTCAAAGGGCGATTCCTTCTGATATTTTAGGAGATAAAGTTCATATGAACATGTGTCCTAACTTGCTTCGTTTTCGAGATACAGGGACTACAGGGTATCAATATTTTCATGAAAAATCGTTGTTTTATTCATTACTCTATTGTCTCTCCATCAGTTTCAATAAAACGTTGTGGCTTTGTTGATATTTTCATATTTCAGTTTCATATTTTTATTAGATTAAACTATTGAAATAAAAACTTTTTCATCCTTTGTGTGATTTTAGTATCTTGCTTATTTTTTGAGGAAACAATAAAAATTCGATTTGACTCCAAATTTTACTTCAATTGGGATTACTCAATAACCCCAATCACTATCATTTTGAAATTTTAGGGAAGTTATAAATAAATACAAATGATACTTCCAACTTCAACATTCTGTATCTCAAAAACGGAGCAAGTTAGGATACATGTTTATATGAACTTTATTTGCTAGAATATCACAGGGAATCATCCCTTGAATTTTTTTGATGCTATTCAGATACACCCGGATGAAACTGAGAATTTCCTATGGGTATGCAGTCAAAGAAAAACACAGTGTACTCTTGTTTCTGTTCAAGCTTTCGAGTATTCATTGGCTCTTCATCAGGTACTCTAAAAAACATTAAAATTGATATGAAAATTTAATCGTTATTATCGATTACTGAACACTTACGGAAAGTGAGGTTTCGTTGAAGATAATGGGTTTTTTTTACTTCAAAATTTGATATTTTCATTTGTATTTCGTATTATTTTTGACATAATCATGCAAAAAACACCTAATGTGCAGGGGCTTCTAACATTGCTATATTGATTTCTTTCTCATGTTGGACATACCTACCACAAACTATTGATTGATGAAGTGGTATCGACCATATATTATATTTCTCAAATAGAATTTTTTTAGTAAAATATTTCTCGTATCATACATAATCAGGTTGAAATATCACAAAAAACTTCAGAGAGAGAGAGAGAGAGAGAGAGAGAGAGAGAGGGGGGGGGGGGGAGAGAGATCAAATGATAATATAAGGATAATATGCTGATTTCAAAACGCTATAAACTCGATTCCCTCAAACTTCAACTTATAATACTGAAATTAAACCAAATGTGAATTATGATTCATCGATTGAGAGAGGTTTCTACAGATTTTTTCCCTCAGTGGTCTTCCCCATTCGGTAATCTACAGGGTGGTCCGTTGAAATAATAACAAAAGTTCACATGAACATATACTCTTAAACGTGTCGTTTTCGAGATATAGGGTGTTGAAAATACGAAACAAAAGTTTTACGCTCTAACCGCTCTATAAGATGAAACAGTGAGCATAGCACTCTTGTTTCAATTACAATCAAATATTGTGATTGAACTGAAAATGTTACGATATTTCTGAACCTTTAAAACTCTTGGGTGAGCTTCTTCACGCAGATACCTACCTATGTATTTCCAAATTATGATCTAAAAATTGAGAAAGAAATGCACATATAAAAATTGAGGTGATATTTTTCTTCGCCACCTCCAGATTCAGCTGCCACTGAATTAATTTATGAAATAATTTTTATTTCATCTTATAGTGCGTAAAAAGTTTAGTATCTGTGAGAATTGTTGTTGATATATCTCAAACCGTTTCGAACTCTTCATCAAAAAATAATATTGAGACTCGTATTTTCAACACCCCATATCTCGAAAACGACGCATTCAAAAGTATATGTTTATTTGAACTTTTTTTATTATTTCAACGAGTATCCCAGCGAGCACAAAAACATATCAGAGATGTTAAAAGTACGAGATTTCGAGACATTGAACCTCCACTGCGATGTTCTGTTCACACATGAATAGAACTATTATAGAACGGCCAATGTCCGCCGCAGGCGGTAATTATCGAGATGTCCTTGATATGTCACAAAACTACCTTCTCACTAGTTCTTTTTAAAGTCTTTCCATGGACACAACAAAACATTTTCAACGCGTCTTGCGCACATTAAATCGCTGTAAAAAAAATTTTCGAGGTACTTTTCTGAAGTCTTTTGTCAAAATGAACTTTTGCATTAGAATTCCATTTCTCTTGAATGAAAAAATGCATTAAAAATAGATTGAACATAAAAATATTTTCTTGATATGAAATTACCTTCTTAATCGGTTTCTGAGTAGTGCTTACTACACACAGACATATAATATTGGAAATAGGTTTCCCAATTTTTGAAATGTTCTCCACAATGCATAATTTTGCAACTGCGGAGAAGCTGTGTATTGATAAATTCGTACTTTTATATATTGATTATACTGAGGCACCGAACAACACATCTTGCATCTGATGGTCATTATTACAAACCAAATAAGTCTTCTAACACAATAAACTTCACCAAATTCCTTTCTGTTCGTTAGCAGCGTGATGTAAGCGTGACACGCTGCAAACGCGAATGCCAATTGCGAACAAGAAGAACAAAATCGAAAACAAATCAGAATTCATCGTATTGTGACGTAAGCATGAGACGTTGTGGTGGGGCAAACAAAGAAAGGGCACAAAAGAACAAAAACAATACTTCAATATCCTTCAAAGACCTCTTTGGTCAGTACATATTACGTCTCAAAATAACATCTTCATGCCAACATTTTCAAAACATCCCAAAACATCCCAGGGGTGTTTGTGCTCGCTGGGATACTATTACTGGTACTGGTGGGGACGTTTGCACGTCAGCAGCAAGTCCCTAATGGGACCTTTTTGCAAACCCTATAAGTGTTTTCAATTCCTGGATGTGGTTCGCTCAAGAGAGAGGGCAGGCACCGCCCATCAGCTCCCTTTCAGAGTTTTTCGGCTGTGTTTTGTAGGCTAGTAATGTACTTACTACCATATGCGCAGTGGCAGGCCTGCAACGAGTATAACAACCTGTTGAATTTTTTGTATTACAAACCGGACCAACAAACCCTCAACTCTTGTTTCTCTTACAGAAGACGAGCTATTCAAATCAGCAGAAGCTTTGCCATTTGCATTTTGCTATTCTTTTCAAACTTTCTCACCGTTATTTCTTTTCCTTGGGGGCTCTTAATGATTATGGCGGGGGGCCAAAGTATGAACTTACGCCACTGATGGTCACACGGTCAAGTCCAAAAAGGGGATTCGGCATTCAATCTTAATGAAATTGTGCGGTTGTAATGAATAATAAAAAATCCGAAAATCTGGACCAGGTGGTTCCCGGCACGTTTTCCATCCGCCAACACGTGTCGAGGGGGTGGTTGCGGGGTAGTGAATTCCGAATTGTGAATAGGCACCCCTAGCCGTTCTCATACAGATTACGGCCGGTGGCAAGTGGTGGTATTATGCTCATCCGAAAGTCATCGGACCGCTTAAGGGGGCCATTCGGGGCTACTTAATTTGATATTTCAATTGATAAAGCCGGAAAACGTGATTGTGATGGCCATTTAGTGAGAATCGAATTTGCCGAGATCATACACTTGATACGATCAAAATAATACAATATTACGAAGATTATTTGAAACGTATAAGAGATTAATTCGAATAATGTATAAGAGTTGGATTAATTTGAATCATTGACGATTTTATTTTTCTAATAGTTATTTCATTTCAAAATGAAAGGCCAATCAGAAATCATTTGTAGGACTAGATTGTTAAGAATTCTTGTCTTGATAACATTTTTTCCTACGGCTATAACACAAGATTTCTCTTGTTATACGACGCTATACATAGTGGAGTATACTACGGCCTTGCCAAAAATGCTATCTCGGAAACTAAGCGAGATAGAGGTATAGTTACTTTGGAGAAAATGATCCCCATCGAATTTTGAGCAACTTTTGTTTTTGTATGTGGTCTGTCTGTCTGTCTGTACTCTGTGTTAATCATAAATCGATATATCTCCGGAACCCTTTGACATATCGACGTGAAATTTTGCCATCTTATTGTACTCAAAACGATATTATGTCATTAAAATATGAAGGAAATCGGAAAACACTAAGGTGGTTTTTCCAGGTTTTTTCGATTTTTCACCGAAAGTTTCTTGCGACCACTCTACAAATCGCAAAAGTGGTCCGATCGATTTCATTTTTTGTGAAAAAAAAACTCTATCTGGGAGAGACGAAGCCTATTGAAATTGAGCAGGGTCGGGAAATTCCAAGTGGGTTTTTCATGGAGATTTTCCGAAAAACACGGTTCGCTTTAAAACGACATATCTCCTGAACCAATAGACTAAATTCAAATTTGAAAAAAGCACCGTATGCCTCTTTGATGACGCAAAAAAATTATTATTTCACCATTTCTTCGTGCATTCATCGGAAAATGGAAAAACAAATGAAAATCAAAACATCAAAATTTGAAATCCTTTCAATTCAATATATATCGAAAACAAATGGAAAAATCGAAAATTATCAGAAGTGCAAAGTTATCCACTGAAACATTTCCTACAAATTATTTCCCATATTTTTTTCTGTAAACCCAATAGTACAGGAAATAAAGTGAAAAATATGAAAAAAAAATTTTTACGACCCATAGGGTACTATGAAGATATATTGAAAAACAAAGATTATCGATAGATGAAGCTCATCGACTTCCACTGAACCATGAAATATTTTTTCATTTTGTTGATTGG